CGATCTCGGCTCACCGCAACCTCCGCTTCCTGGGTTCAGGCAATCCTCCTGCCTCAGCCTCCTGAGTAGCTGGGATTACAGGCATGCGCCACCATGCCCAGCTAATTTTTTGTATTTTTAGTAGAGACAGGGTTTCACCGTGTTGACCAGGATGGTCTCGATCTCTTGACCTTGTGATCCACCCGCCTTGGCCTCCCAAAGTGCTGAGATTACAGGCTTGAGCCACCGTGCCCGGCCTATACTTGCATATTTTAAAGCCAGCTTGACTTAGATTCTGTTACTTACAGACAAAAGCATTTTAACTAATGCAAATGATTTTCCTTAACCTCTGAAAGACCAGATCCTACCAAATATTCCATATCTAGTACAAGGATAACCTCCTTCTCAAAGTCTTCATTAACATCTGCAGGAAAGAAGTTCTCTCTTGGTCCTCTGAGCCAGCATTTCATTGGCCCTTTTCCCTCTTTCATTGTACTATAGTTATCATGACACTTCCTGTTTATTGCACCCCAAAGCCTAGAGAATAAAAACTTCTTCCCATGGCTCATAACATCCCTCCAAGGAAACCCACTTCCCTTCCTCATCTACTGTCCCACACCCTCCGCTAACTGTTGGAAGCTGCAGTCATGCTCAGTGTCCTGCAGATCAAACATTTTCTATTCTTTAAAGCTTCTTTGCCTTTGAGAACAAGTTATTCCCACTTTCTGGAAATCTACTACCTACTTTGTGCACTTCACAAGCATCTCCAAGCCTCGGCTCAAGCATGGACATACCTCTCCATTTCTTTTTTTGAGAGGGAGTCTCACTCTGTCACCCAGTCTGGAGTGCAGTGGTGCGATCTTGGCTCACTGCAACCTCTGCCTCCCAGGTTCAAGCAATTTTCCTGCCTCAGCCTCCTAAGTAGCTGGGATTACAGGCATGCACTAACACGCCCAGCTAATTTTTGTATTTTTAGTAGAGACAGGGCTTCACTATGTTGGCCAGGCTGGTCTCAAACTCCTGACCTCAGGTGATCCACCTGCCTTGGTCTACCAAAGTGCTGGGATTACAGGCGTGAGCCACTGCGCCTGGCCAACCCCTCCATTTTCTTCCCTGACTCCCAAGGCAGGCAGCTACTCCTTCACCTTGTAGCAGCTACCTCACTGTATTATTTTTTTATTTTTATTTTTTTTGAGACAAGAGTCTCACTCTGTCACCCATGCTGGAGTACAGTGGCGCATGCGATCTTGGCTCACTGCAACCTCTGTCTCCTGGGTTCAAGCAATTCTCCTGCCTCAGCCTCCCGAGTAGCTGGAACTACAGGCGTACACCACCATGCCCATCTAACTTTTGTATTTTTAGTAGAAATGGGGTTTCACCATGTTGGTCAGGATGGTCTCGATTTCTTATCCTCGTGATCTGCCCATCTAGGCCTCCCAAAATGCTGGGATTACAGGCATGAGCCACTGCAGCTGGCCACATTATTAATTTTCATACCTATTTTCTTCTCTAGACCATAAGCAAGAATGTTGTTTCATTTATCTTGGTATTCCCAGTGCCTGGCATATTTCAGATACCTGGTAAATGTTAAGTGAATTTGTGTAACTGTCTTATATATATAATGAATCTGCAACACCTCCCTTTTTTCTGAGGCAGAGTCTTGGCTCTAATGCCCAGGCTCACTGCAGGTTCAACTTCCCAGGCTCAAGGAAATCCTCCCACCATAGCCTCCTAAGTAGCTGGGACTCCAAGCATGCGCCACCACACCCAACTACCCAACTAATTTCTTTATTTTTTGTACAGAAGATGTCTCACTATGTTGCCCAGGCTGGTCTTGAACTCCTGGGCTCAAGTAATCCTCCCGCCTAGGCCTCTCAAAGTGCTGGGATTATAGGCTTGAGTCACCTCATCCAGCCTCTCCAATACTTTTTTTTTTTTTTTTAATTCGGCTTTTTATTGAACACATTATAAAAGAGGTTTAGTCAAAAAGACCAAAACCCATATCATCATCAGACTCCTCAGATTCTTCTTTCTTTGCTTCCACTTTCTAAAAATATGGAACGCTTCACGAATTTGCGTGTCATCCTTGCGCAGGGGCCATGCTAATCTTCTCTGTATCGTTCCAATTTTAGTATATGTGCTGCCGAAGAGAGCACAACCTCTCCAATACTCTTGATGGCTATCTGGATATTTCATTAATCATTGTATCTAAAGAGCCTAGGATAATGTCTGACACATAGCTAATGTCAATAACTGTAAAAATAAGTTCCTTCTCCCAATCTGGGTGATAATTTATGGCACTGTTATCTTCCTTTCCTCTGTTCTCCCCCTGGAACCCATAATCAACAACGCTCTATCTTGGCAGCTCAAACCTGTCTCCTTGTCACTACCACCCCTCATAAGTCAATATCCTGGTCTGGCAGCACAGGACACAATCTGCCACTGAGGCCTTAAGTTTTGGACACTGCCCGCCAGTTTGTCCTAGCAGTTTACTTGGGGTTGGAATGTCTGAGAAAATCACAGCTCCCACGGGTCCCCACGTCGGAACAGAAGGGAGTGGCCCTGCTTCTTCCGTCTCCACGGCTGACAGGCACCAAACCAGAGCTGGGACGGTCCCTGGCGGTGTCCAGGCACCCTCTACCCTCTCTGTGTGCAGGTGGAAATGAAGGCCTGGGGGCGGGGGAAACGGGAAGGCATAAAGTTCAAGGTCACACACCGAACCGCGGTCAGAACGGGCCTAAACGTAGGGTTTCCGCTCGGCTCTCTAGGGAGTTGGGAGCCCAGCCCCCGTCCCTCCCTCCCTCCCCCACCCCCCGCCCCAGCCGCCACTGAATGAGGTCTCACCCCAGGCCCCTACCCCCCCCGCCCGGCCACTCCTCTCAGGCTCCGTGCTGCTGGGCCACTCGCACAGAGCCCACAGCTGTTGTCCCGGTGTCACTGGCGACAGGCATCGGCCACTTCCGGTACCCGGGCGGCACTCCAGCCAATCAGCGCGCGTCGCACTCCGCTGGAGAAACAGGTGGTCAGCGCACCAACGCCCCGTTGCCTTTTCCGGCTTTGCTTTTCGCTGGTTCTTGCCCTAGCCCAATCTCAATATCGCCGCCGCCTGCCGAGCCGACTCCCTGGAACAGCAACGTGCACCCGTTGATGCCGGCTTCGGCCCCGGGATCGTTGACGAGCTGAGTCCTCCGGGTTTCCTAGAAGGGCTCCAGGGATAAACTTCCGCTCCGCGATCGGCCGCTCTGCGCCCTGATGTCGCTCCCCAAGCATTGCTCAGAGCTGAAGAGCTCCGGAATCCGCTTCGCATTCTAGCGGGGACTGTTTGCGGGATCCCTTTAACTTTATTTTATTTTTTATTTTTTATTTTTCACCGTGTTGGTCAGACTGGTCTTGAACTCCTGACCCTTTAACTTTCCCAACCCGCATAGCTCTTATCCCGTCCTTCCCTTGCCCAGACTCGGTGAGTCTGAAAAATACAGGGCTGTAGATCCTGGGAACTGGCCGTTCATCGGCAGGGCTTGCAGGAGTGACATTTGGGCTGAAATCTCAAGATTGAGTGGGAATTACCTAAATTAGGAGAAGGCCTAGGTTAAGCCGCTCCCGCCACGAAAACAGCATTCTGCAGCTAGCCTTCCTGGGTTTCCTGAGCAAGCTTTGCAGCTTGGCCCATTCTCACCTCAAACCTTTTTTTTTTTTTTTTTTTTTTGGAGACTGAGTTTCACTCTTGTTGTCCAGGCTGGAGTGCAGTGGCGCGATTTCAGCTCACTGCAACCTCTGCCTCTCGGATTCAAGCGACTCTCCTGCCTGAGCCTCCCAAATAGCTGGGATTACAGGCATCCGCCACCACGCCCGGCTAATTTTGTATTTTTAGTAGAGACGGGGTTTCACCATGCCGGTCAGGTTGGTCTCAAACTCCTGACCTCAAGTGATCCGCCCGCCTCGGCCTCCCAAAATGATAGGATTACAGGCGTGAACCACTGCACCCGGCCACCTCAGAACGTTGTTACTAACCCTGTAATTTTGCACAGCCAGCTTGTTTTTTTTTGTTTGTTTGTTTGTTTGTTTTTTGAGACGTTGTTTCACTGTTGTCGCCCAGGCTGGAATGCAATGGCGCGACCTCCACATCCTTTTCTCCACATCCTCACCAACATTTATCTTTTGTCTTTTGATAATAGCCATTTTAACTAGGGTGAGGTTATATCTCATTTATGACTTTAATTTGCATTTCCATTATAATGAGTGACTTTTTTTTTCTGTTTTTTTGAGACAGGATCTGTCTCTGTCACCCAGGCTGGAGTGCTAGGGCACCATCATAGCTAACTGCAGTCTTGACCTCCCAGGCTCAACTGATCTTCCCACCTCAACCTCCCAAGTAGCTGGAACTAGAGGCATGTACCACCATGCTCCACTAATGTTTTAGTTTTTGTAGAGACACAGGGTCTCACTTTGTGGTCCAGGCTGATCTTCAATTCCTGGCCTCTGATCAGTGATCTTGAGTGTTTTTTTTATATACCTGTTGAGTATTTGTATGTCTTCCTTTGAGAAATGTCTATCCAATTTCTTTGTCCATTTTAAAATCAGGTTATTATTATTATTTTGTCATTTGAGTTGCTTGCATTTTCCTTATGTATTCTCTATATTAATCCTTTATAAGATATATGGTTTACAAATATTTTCCCCTATTACATAGATTATCTCTTCACTATGTTGTTTCCTTGGGTATGCTTTTTAATTTTATGTAATCCCATTTGCCTCTTTTCATTTGTGTTGGCTGTGCTTCTAGAATAATATCGAAAAAATTATGGCCAGGCACAGTTATCCCAGCACTTTGGGAAGCCAAGGCAGGCGGATCACCTGACATCAGGAGCTCAAGACCAGCCTGGCCAACTCGGTGAAACCCTGTCTCTACTCAAAGTACAAAATTAGCTGGGCGTGGTGGCGGGCTTCTGTAATCCCAGCTACTCAGGAGGCTGTCAGGAGAATTACTTGAACCCAGGAGGGGAAGGTTGCAGCGAGCCAAGACCACACCACTGCACTCCAGCCTGGGCGACAAAGTAAGACTCCATCTCAAAAAATAAAATAATAAATAAAATATAAAATAATCTTCAGTGAACTAATACTCAGTCCACCAACAAGATTCCTTCTCAGTGATGCACCTTTGTCCTTGGGCTAACACAGTGTGTTTGCCATCCTGCACACTCCAGTTACTCTTCATACTGTTGTTTTCCCTTAGGCCACAGACCTGCCCACGATGCTGCCCTCATTCCCACTGCGACTGCAAACCATAACTGTGATGCTACCTCGGGACTTCTCTCAAATAAAGGGTCTCTTTGTTTCTGGGGCTTAATTCTGCGGCCAACACCCACAGATTCTCTCTCTGGAAAAACCTTGGGATCATTCAAACTCACTCTACCCTTTGCAGTAGTAAGTCATTAAACCATCCTTTTTGACTTCACTATTTCAATGCCATATAAGAAATAATGTATAGATCTTACACAGGTGAGCAAAATGTAGGCTTTGAGTTTGGTTTAAAACAACAATCACAAAAAAATCCAAACTTTCTACATACCCAACATAGTTTACAAAATCCTCTCAAATATATTAGCCATAGTGAGAGTCTCTAGAATGTCTATGGCAACTGTAGAAAACTTATTTATAGGTGAGGGTGACCAGAAAGAGTTTAGTGACATGTCGAAGTTTACTTAGATCAAGGCCAGGCACGGTGGCTCACACCTGTAATCCCAGCACTTTGAGAGGCCTAGGTGGGCAGATCACCTGAGATCAGAAGTTCGAGACCAGCCTGACCAACATGGAGAAACCCCATCTCTACTAAAAATACAAAAGTAGCTGGGCGTGGTGGTGCATGCATGTAATCTCAGCTACTCGGGCAGCTGAGGCAGAGAATTGCTTAAACCCAAGAAGCAGAGGTTGCAGTGAGCCAAGATTGTGCCATTGCACTCCAGACTGGGCAACAAGAGCAAAACTCCGTCTCTCTCTCTCTTTTTTTTTTTTTTTGAGATAAAGTCTTGCTGTGTTGCCCAGGCTGGTGTGCGATGGCGCAATCTCGGCTCACTGCAAACTCCACCTCCTGGGTTCAAGCTATTCTCCTGCCTCAGCCTCCCATGTAGCTGGGATTACAGGCAGCACCAACACGCCCAGCTAATTTTGTACTTTTAGTAGAGAAGGGGTTTCTCCATGTTGGTCAGGCTGGTCTCTAACTCCCAACCTCAGGTAATCCACCCACCTCGGTGGATTACAGGTGTAAACCACCATGCCTGGCCCAAGATCCCTTCTTTATGATGAAATCTTTCTCATAGTCAGCTAATGATCAAAACAGGAAATTTCAAATTTAACATTCAGCAAATCCACTTGTGCCTAACATGTGCATAAAGCATCCCCTTTCTACCAAAATAAAACCCTGTACAATGACGGTATTTGGGTTACTTAGCTGGCTTTAATACTTGGGTTACTCCAAGACCTCATTCAAAACAAGCACATGCGCAAAACCTGAGTCCTCTCCTCTCACTCTCACCACTTCTCTACTGCCCTTCCTGACTCTTAGTATTTAAGTTGACTTGTTGTAGCTTGTGTTGTCTTGTAAGAATATGTTCTTTTTTCTTTTTTTGTTTTTTTTTTTTGAGATAGTCTTGCCCTGTTACCCAAGCTGGAGTGCAGTTGGCGCCATCTCAGCTCACTACAATCTCTACCTCCTGGGTTCAAGCAATTCTGCCTCAGCCTCCAGAGTAGGTGGCACTACAGGTGCGTACCACCATTTCCAGCTAATTTTTGTATTTTAGTAGAGACAGGGTTTCTCCATGTTGGTCAGGCTGGCCTCGAACTCCCAACCTCAAGTGATCTGCCCACCTCAGCCTCCCAAAGTGCTGGGATTACAGGCATGAGCCACCATGCCCGGCCATTGTAAGAGTATTTTCCATCTCCCCGCTCAGTTCTCTGCTAGGAGTCATTGCACCTGTAGCACATAACTGACCAGAGATGGTTTCTACATGTTGACTGACAAATACTTATATGGGGCCAGGGGCAGTGGCTCACTCCATTCAGCACTTTGGGAGGCCAGTGTGGGTGGATCACTTGAGGTCAAGAGTTCAACACCAGCCAACATAGTGAAACCCTGTCTCTACTAAAAATACAAAAATTAGCTGGGCATAGTGCCACAGGCCTGTAATCTCAGCTACCTAGGAGGCTGAGGCAGGAGAATTGCTTGAACCTGGGAGGTGGAAGTTGCAGTGAGCCAAGATCACGCCATTTCACTCCAGCCTGGGAAACAAGAGTGAAATTCCATATTTAAAAAAAAAGGCTGCGTGCAGTGGCTCACGCCTGTAATCCCAGCACTTTGGGAGGCGGAGGCAAGCGGATCACAAGGTCAGGGGTTCGAGACCAGCCTGGCCAATATGATGAAACCCTGTCTCTGCTAATAATATAAAAATTATCCGGGTGTGGTGGCACGCACCTGTAGTCCCAGCTATTCGGGAGGCTGAGGCAGAAGAATTGCTTGAACCCGGGAGGCAGAGGTTGCAGTGAGCCGTGACCATGCCACTACACTCCAGCCTGGGCGACAGAGTGAGACTCCATCTCAAAAAAAAAAAAAAAAGCAAAAGCTTATATGGAAAGTCTTCTGAGATTACCTTGAATGTTAACAGTGATCTTCAGGCCGGGCATGGTGGCTCAAGCCTGTAATCCCAGCACTTTGGGAGGCTGAGGCGGGTGGATCACGGGGTCAAGAGATCGAGACCATCCTGGTCAACATGGTGAAACCCCGTCTCTACTAAAAATACAAAACATTAGCTGGGCATGGTGGCGCGTGCCTGTAATCCCAGCTACTGAGGAGGTTGAGGCAGGAGAATTGCCTGAACCCAGGAGGCGGAGGTTGCGGTGAGCCGAGATCGCGCCATTGCACTCCAGCCTGGGTAACAAGAGCGAAACTCCGTCTCAAACAAACAAACAAACAAACAAACAAAAACAGTGATCTTCAAGGAACAGTACCTTACTGCTTACTACAGAAGTCTAAAACTAATGGCAGGAATTTTATGCACAGGGTAAAAGTGGTCAAGAGAGCAAAGGTAGCCAGCCAGCTGACTTTTCAGAGACCCTCACATCACATTAGATGAATAGGTTTTTTGTTTGTTTGTTTGTTTGTTTTGAGACGG